GGTGAGCCCCCGGGTGAGCCCCCGGGTGAGCCCCCGTACCCCCCTCTCGTGCTCTCCCCCTGGCTACGGCCTACGGCCCTCGTTCGGCGGCCTTTGGCCGCCATTAGGGCCTTCGGCCCTCAAAAAAATGGTGCCTCCTACTTTTTATTCATCAACCTCCTACTATTATTCTTATTGACAACACTGGTTTACAGCATATACACAAATATCATAAACACATGATTTTTTTCAAACTATATGAGAATGAAATGTTTACAAATCATTTGCAAAAGATACAACTGTTTAATTATTGCTCAAAGCTAAACCAGAAATATGTGAAGCAACATATACAATATATGTATTGAGATATTAAGTTTACAATCAAATATTCACGCCTGTCGAAGTAAATTGTATAAATTGTAGATTTCATCATAATCAATTGTAATGTTTAATCATACCAGCGTGTGTTCTTGAATATTTCGCTACACCAGCCACAGAAAAAGAAGGGTGTTTAGAAGCTTCTTTGTCAAGTCTAATAAAATCAAATATTGTAAATAACAAACATGTGTCTTGTTGTAACAGGCAAAATTAATCTATTTAAGGGAGGAATAAATAACAATATTAATGTATGAATATTTTTAAATGAATTTTAACTGTCATTGTACAATACCACAAAGCTAATTATATAACATGATAGATCTATATATATTGTAAATTAAAAATGTTTGCCTTGTTGTGACAGGTAAAATCATGGAATTAATGCTATCTTAATGTCCAGGGTCACATGAAACTACATGTATTTAAGATAGGAATACATTACAATACATGATTATTTTAAATGAATTTCAACTGTCATTTTACAATACCAAAAAGCTAGTAATATTACATGTTAGAAATTGGGACAAAATACACCCCAAAGTGCTTTACATTCAATAGATGACCCGGTCCTTGAGTAATAAACTTTACAATTTAGATAAAAGCATGTATGGACATTTCTATCCATCAAGAATATTAGATTCTAGTAAATCCCAGAGAAGACGAATTTTAATATTTTAGCCAATATTCCAATAGACCCTGTCCCTCCGGCCCAAGGGGTGGGTCAGGATCTTATTTTCTGATAGCATTAAATTGTAATCTCATTATCATTTCAAGCAAATTTGAATTATTTCATGTAGAGTTAAAAACAAAATATGCCAAAAAGCATAATTGCCCTATATAAACTATAGTAACTTATACCCTCTCCCAAAGGAAGATCTAATGATTATGGGGCAATGTTGATAATACACCTAGGGACCTTCCCGTCCATGAACAGTACTTGATACCAGTACACCTGAATCTGAAGAAGATTTTTGAGAAATATTGGTCAATTTTTCCTTTGGAGCCCTATATATCCTATCCCCTAGGTGAGCGGCAGGAACTCCAATTTTACAATTTGATACCCTCTTTCCACAAAGAAAGATTCTTATAAAGTCTGAATAGAAAAGTATACCTTGTGGGACTTTAATAAAAAAAAAATATATAATAACAAGAGGCCCAGAGGGCATGTATCGCTCATGTTTCTTTTGTTACATGAAACTGACATATAGATAACCTCAGACCAAATTTGGTAACTAGAACACGAGGCATTTTAACATCTATTAAACGGTTCTTAAGATATTGTTGGAAATTTGAAATTTTAGTTTTAAAGCTTTTAATCCACGTTGACCTTTGCTCCGTCAGCACTTAAAGTTGACCTTTGACGCATTACTGTAATTCGGAAAAAGATTCACACAGATGGTCTACATAACATACCCAAGTATCGTGACTCTCGACCAAATGGTTCTTAAGATATTGTTGTTTGAAGTTTTTAACATATTTGACTCCTGTGACCTTGACAGTAGGTCAAGGTCATTTTAATGAAGAGCATTCCATCCCAGGTACCTATTTGTCAAATATCATGACCCTGGGCCTTATCGAACTTGAGAAGAAGATTGATGAAGCTTTTCACCCTTATTGACCTTTGATCCCCGACTAGCACTGAAAGGTGACATTTGACCTCATTACTGTAATAAAGAAAAAGATTCCAACAGCTGGTCTACATAACATATCCAAGTATCATGAATCTAGTCATCATGGTCATTCAAATATTGTTGTTTGAATTTTTAACATATTGACCCCTGTGACCTTGAAAGTAGGTCAAGGTCATTTTAACGAGGAAACTTAATAGCACTCCATCCCATCTACCTACTGGTCAAATGTCATGAGCCTCGGTCCTTTAGTTCTTCAGAAGAAGTCGTTCAAAAGAAAAAGTTGACAGACGGACGACGGACGCCGCAGTATGGCATTTGGCCTGATGAGCTAAAAATGAAATCAGCAAAATATAATAAAAAGCAGTTTTCTAAGCATAAAATTCTTCTGGCTAGTCCATAGTATGAACCCTGGACTTCATATTGAACTATAGCAGACTGATCGAGCTGCATGATCATTGGAACTGTCCTGGCCCAAATGTGCTAAAGTTATGTATCCAACACTGAGATATACACGAGATGATCATCGATCTAAACCCTTAAAACATGTAAAATTACTCTGAAAGCCTTAGTTTAGGTCCAAATAAAGCTGTAACAAATTATCAGGTTCCTGTTAGTTAGATAAGGGCGCCTAGCATCGTCGACATATTTTTATGTACAACATATTTCAGTGGGATGGTACCAGTAAGAGTATATGTAGCAGCGTCAGCTACTCGGTCAGACAGTGAGAAGATTTGTTTGAGGATTTTCCTATACTGTACTTCCAGTGGTTCCATATCTCTGTCTGTCGGATTGACAGTTTCCTGACCATATACGTAGAAGGTGTAAACAGGTCTCTGGATTCAGTCCACTTTCCATGTAACCCTTTACCCATTAAACTGTGTAGAATCCTCCTGTCTCGTTTTTATGTTACTTTGTATTGTTGTCTTGGCTGATTTCCTTTGATTGACATGGTGGATCACACCTAGGTGGACAGCTTCTATAACTCTAGACAGAGTAATGTTATTCATAGACCATGGGAAGGGTGGTGTGTCGTTCGGTATCCTGTTGTTATTACAGACTGGTAAGATAACACACTTTGCTGGTTGTATGTCATACATTGTACATATAAGCTCCTCGCTGTAGTTTTTACGATGTTAATCAGTCAGTCTGCAAGCCACCCTTCGAATAGTCTATCAGAGCTACACTGTACGTCATCTACACAAGTGGGTGAAGCACATGCATATGGTGTTAGACCGATATGCACGCCAAAACCGGAAATCGACGACCGAACCAGCAAATATACATAGAGCTATGTGCTGAGAGTCCCGCCTTGTCTAACTCCCTGTTGTACAGAGATAGATTTAGATAGTTGGTTTTGCCATTGCACTGAGGTGGTTGCATTACAGTTCAGATCATGGATATTCTCTCATGTTTTACCTGTTACGCCATATAGGTATAGTTTCCTTTCTAGAAGACGGTGGTGTACGGTATCAAAAGCAGCCTTTGCATCAAGGGAGGCTATATATGTTATTTTCATGGCTAGCAGCGATCGCCTCATGGACAATGAAACTACTGGAGAGAGGTGAAGTGCCTTTGGTGAATCCTCGTTGTAGTTGGTTCTGTTGAGTACTGAAGGCTGCCTTTAGCCTGCTTAACGGGACGGGTTCCAAGGTTTTGAGTACTGCTGGTAATACAGTTATTCCCCTATAGTTCTTGCTTTGAGACTTAGGAGCATTTCTTCTTAAAAACAGGTGATACATTTCCTAGTTTCAGGACATCAGGGACAACTCCCTTGCTGATTATTATGTTAAACAGTGTATCCGTCTTTCTTTAGCAAATTATATTTGATATTACTCTTGTTTTATTTCCTTCCAAACTCCTGTGATACATTAGATAAACCAAAGAGAAGAGTTTCTTCCCCTTCCCTAGCGCCTTCTGAAAGGGACAGTTCTCCTCTATAGAGGTTCACCAGGGGAATATTTATATATATATTGTTTGCGATAAATTGTAAAACTTTATCTGTTTTTGTTTTGTTTTTGATTTTGCGACAATGTCACTACTGACCCGATTTAATGATACCCATGCACTGACATAGTTTTTTTAAAGGTTTTAGTCCGTTACAAAAATTGTAAAATCGATGTTACAATTATAAAATAATTGACCTTGGCACCATTAACCTTAGATTATCCCATTTGAAGTTTTTTCATACTTAACAAATATAATTATGTTCTATTATCAAAATCCATTCAGAAATGAAGTTGCTAGAGCAATGACAAATATTTTCTATAAATAGTATTGGTGACCTTGACTTTCTGAAAAAATGTTTGTTTTAGGTATTCTTATATTTACCCAACGCAGGAAGTTTGATCAAAATCCATGCAAAAATGAAGTTGACAAAATGATTGCAAACATGTTCTGTACAGAAGAAATAGTCTCTTTGACCTTGGCAAGCTCATTCGAGGTATTATCATGCTTGACCGATACATAAAGTTTCATCAAGATCCACTAAGAAAAGTTAAAGCAGTCTGCTATATACAAACATTAGGGTATCGCTATATCCCCTTCAAGGCCTTAATCGAAAGGGAAGAAATATGAAACAGTACAGTAGGTGCCAATATACAATAAATGATCTTCGTCCATCCGATGTGTTTTCTTATAAAATATTTCAAAATCAAACAAATTACAGAAACAACAGTTATTATAAGAAAACAAAACTTTATTAGAAAACAAAACTTCATTATAACAAATTAACAACAGTTGTGTAGAGACAAACATTGCCTTGGTGATTAGCATTAATGGCTGTAAGGTTTTCACCACAGAAATATTCTCCTTAGCATGCCTACAGAGAAATATTACTATTAAACATTTGTTTGTTTGTGTTTTACGTCCTATTATATTAAATTAACAGCTATGGTCATTTAAGAACCTGCCAGGTTTTGGTGGTGGAGGAAAGCTGGAGTTCCCGGAGAAAAACCACCGACCTACGGCCAGTACCTGGCGACTGCCCCACGTAGGCCTCGAACCCGCAACCCAGTGGTGGAGGGCTAGGTGGCAGCAGAATGTCAGACGCTAGTAAACAAAGTGTTTGAATTCAAATTTAAAAAATGATGTAAAACTTTGGAGATATTTTGATATATAGACAAATTTTCATGTTTGTAGTCGCAATAAAATGTCGGTTGATTCTTTATATTCTTTACTCAACCAACATTTCAGTATGAATTGATATTTATGAGCTAATAACTTCAAATGATTTAAAAAAAAATATTATTTTCTGACTATGTTCTTATTGTCATGAACGAAATTATTATTGTTCATAATTTCAGAGGCAAAACAGCCCAGAATTGAATTCAGCACACACAATTTTTTTTTGAATTAACTATTTGTATACGTATAAGCTTCTGATTTTTGAAAGATGCAGCTTCACTATAATATGACCATAAAGTCATGCTTAGGTCTCATTGGGCAGAGCTACAGAGGTCAAATGTACACTGAACTTGTCCCAGAAGAGTACAGAGTACTTTTTGTTTACAAAGTGTTGACGTGTTCAACTCCGTACAGAACTTTGTGAAAACCACAAAAAAAAAGAGACTGACTCATAACACTTCACACACAATACAGGGTTCTGTAGAGAAGAAATCAATTTTTCTTTATAAAAACTCTTAACATCCTCTTCCATAAGGAAAATCAATTTTTACATGAAAAATTAGTAGCATCCTCTAGATCTGTTAGGAAATAAATTCCTACACGTCCGTAAAATAAGCACTTCTAGATAATTAGAGCATTGTAATATTCTTTAAACTACAAGCCAGCCTGTTTGATATAAATTATACATATTTTGATATTACACAGGGAAAATCAATTTAAAGGACAGAAAACTTCTAAATCTAAAAAATCTAAAATAAGCACTTCTAGATAATTAGAGCATTGTAATATTCTTTAAACTACAAGCCAGCCTGTTTGATATAAATTATACATATTTTGATATTACACAGGGAAAATCAATTTAAAGGACAGAAAACTGTGCTATGTATACATGACTTGTAATGATAATTATACCATAGAAAATAAATCTGTATATAACACAACATTGATTGCACAACTTTCATTAGATTTTGATAAATTCAAATACAGATGATATTCAATTGTTTTTTATGTTGGAGATCAGACAAATTAAGCTAGATATCAATATTGCATTCCTCATTAACATATACTTATGGATATTATAGAGATTGGTGTGGATATTATAATTGGTGTCTGTTGATTTTCAGTGTTTTACATATACTGCGGTATATAATGAAGAGTATTATATTAAATGGGGATTTGTTTTCTATGATAAAACATGCTTTCCATGAATCCAAAGGGACAATAGAAATTACTTTGCTATAATCAAAATTAGTTGTTCACGAAATCAGTCCCTGCCATCTATATGATTTAATTCTACAATGTATGTCAAGGGGAGGGACAAAATTATGACTGTCATAACTAAGAACGTCTTTTACATTAAGCAGGTTCATACAATGTACTTTATTTACTGTACTGGGGCTATCTGATTTCTCTGCGTAGATACTGGGTAAGTCTGCCTCATAAGAAGTGATCGATAATATACATGTACCTGTGCATTATTGACATGCGCTGTAGATTCTGCTTAATAGCGTAGCTTATTTTTGCATCTTGGAAATAACTGACAAGTATGGATTACATTTAACCCTTTCACCACTGTAGACCATAATGGACTCGTCCATATCAATGCACGGTAGAGTCTACTAAAGTTACATAGGGGTGAAAGGGTAAATAGATTAAAAAGAAAATAATAAACATATAACTATATTTTGATTTCAATTAAATAGGCTTAAGATTGATAAATAACGAGATCTGGAGAATTTTCCTTACCATCAGTGGGTAAGATAACCTTACTGACACACACTAATCATAACATGTTATGGAACTTTAATATCTAGATCTTAGGGTAGATAAAAAACATTTGCAATATAAAATGGATCTCTCCTTGTGTTTGTAAATTTGATGAATGCTGTGGGTATGTAAAACTGTATATGAAAACCAAATTTTACTTGGGTGTACAACCATTAATCAGGTAAAGTTAAATATATGCTACCTTAAATTAGTCAAATGAATTACCTCATAAACGTTTAGCTTAATCACACAAGCTCATAAGAAGTACTAAACTGTTTATTTATTATACTGGCAATTCAGTTTTTATTTTGATTTTACAATGGTATTTGTAGGACACTAAAATGTGTATGACATTGGAATTATTGTTTGAAATAAAATAGTAAATATTGCTAAAAAAATCTAGGTGGAAACTAACCTATAACCTATACTATTTAAAAGTAAATGGGACCAGGACAAATTTAATTTCAAAACGCAAAATTGCACATTAAAATGGTGTCAACATATAGTTGTGATAAAATTAAATTTGTGTCAGGTAATCAGGAGTAATACCAATACAAGTAAAAGCAAACAAAAGGCCCACAGAACCTGTTTCCCTCACCTGAATATTTAAGCAACAATGACAAAATATTATCGCTAGATGTAATATTACAAATATTTTCCCATTTTGGGCTATATCTCTATAAGCACTGATTTCACAAGGCTGCTTCATAGAAGATTGGGTTGGAATATGATCAACTGTTCTGGAGAATATGCTTTTATATTTTGATTGTTTGGGGTTTTAATTTTCTTGCAGCAGCTAAGGTCATATGAAGACAGGTACCTAGGGAGATGCTGCCTGAACTAAAGAGTAGCGAAGAAAGAAAAGAAAATGTAAACATTTCTGCAAGGGGACTTGGTTGAATTTCATGATATGATACAATGGGATAGTACAGTAAAGTTATTATTTCCCTAAACCTACATGGAGTAGTAGGCATAAATTTCGTCATGAGCCTCGTACATTTTTTAACTAAAGGTATTCACAGCTTGGAAATCACAGAAATGTCCCCAAAGATGGGGCAAGCAGGTATATGGTTATAAGGTTGTGATCACATTCATTTCCAAGTCATGATTAAAGATCAAATGTCCCCAGGGGCAGAGCTAGAACCAGACACTGGAGCCAATCCTGGTAGCATGGCTGTGGTTGTCTCTTCATGCCTTGTTAGCAAATATACATATGGCTATAGGGGAGGGATTTTAACTGTGACAAAGGTATTCCCCAAGGACCGTGATGGGGTGGGGGGCTCTGACCTTAAAAATAGATCAAGGTCATTTATATAAAGAGACTTTATAGTATTCAATCCATAGTATATACCCCCTAAATATCATGACCCTGAGCTTTCTGGAATTTATATACAGAAACAATCACATTCCATCCCTGGTAGCTACTGGTCAAATATCAACCCTTAAGAAATTGTTTAACAAAAGAGTGGACAGACACTGGACACTGCACTCTACCATAAGCTCACATGCCCCTTTATGCAAGGTAAGCTAAAAAGACCAAAGTAGATGGCCTCATATAAATTAATACACTTCCAAGCCATTTTTACCTCTTCACTGACATGGTTTGGTGGAACTCCAAACTCAAGACATGTGGGGAGATAGAGTTATGCGAATAATTATATGTTACCGATCTGCCTTGTATCTGCCTGCACGGTATGACCTTGTCTCTGCCCGCACAGTATAACTGTGTATCTGTCTGCACAGTATGACAGTGTATCTGCCCGCACAGTATGACCGTGTATCTGCCCACACGATATGACCGTGTATCTGCCCGCACAGTATGACCTTGTATCTTCCCGCACGGTGCGATCGTGTATCTGCAAGCGCGGAATGACCTTGTATCTGCCCACACGGTATGACCTTGTATCTGCCCACACACGATATGACCTTGTATCTGCCCGCACGGTATGACCTTGTATCTGCCTGCACGGTATGACCTTGTATCTGCCAGCACGGTATGACCGTGTATCTGCCATGACCGTGTATCTGCCCGCACGGTATGACCGTGTATTTGCCCGCACGGCATGACCTTATATTTGCCTGCACGGTATGACCTTGTATCTGCCCGCACGGTATGACCTTGTCTCTGCCCGCACAGTATGACCTTGTATGTGCCCACACGGTATGACCTTGTATGTGCCCGCACGGCATGACCTTGTATTTGCCTGCACGGTATGACCTTGTATGTGCCCGCACGGTATGACCTTGTATTTGCCCGCACGGTATGACCGTGTATCTGCACGCACTGTATGACCTTGTATCTGCCCGCACGGTATGACCTTGTATGTGCCCGCACGGTATGACCTTGTATGTGCTCGCACGGCATGACCTTGTATTTGCCTGCACGGTATGACCTTGTATGTGCCCGCACGGTTTGACCTTGTATTTGCCCACACGGCATGACCTTGTATTTGCCCGCACGGTATGACCGTGTATCTGCCCGCACGGTATGACCTTGTATTTGCCCGCACGGTATGACCTTGTATTTGCCCACATGGTATGACTTTGTATTTGCCCGCACTGTATGACCGTGTATCTGCCCGCACGGTATGACCATGTATTTGCCCGCACAGTATGACCTTGTATTTGCCCGCACGGTATGACCTTGTATGAAGGTGAGAAAAGATGATCAAACAATAAATAGACAATTCTATAAACACATGAATGTTTCTACAATGTGTATATAATGGTACATATAGACCTAGGGTAAGGTATGATCAATCCAACACCATCATTTCAAAATAATGCTTCACCAAATACATCACAGTCTGGTTTGTTATCACAGGTACACTATCAATGTATAGTTTTAATTTAAACAGGTGTGACCAGCATTGTCCATGGTGTTACATACAGTTAACTCTAGACTGGCCCCCCGTCTTGAGAATATTGAATCATTTAGAAAAGAAAACCTCTAATAACAATTTTGATCACTTGGATGTCTGTTTCCAGAGTTCTTAACTAGGGGGAGATAAGCTAGTTGTAAAATGCAGTTGAGAAATTCTTCATAAAAACTTAGGGTCTGGTAGCCAGTCTAAGTTAACTCATTCACCCCTGAATTTTCATAATGAACTAGCTATTCAAACCTTTGAATTGAAAGAGATAAAATGTGTCTTCAGGGGAGAATGAGTTGAGCAGGTTTGCTTGACATAGCAAGCATCAAGATGATGGGACTGTCACTGTCAATATATACAAGCAGGTAAGGAGAACTCGGAACACTCAGTCCACATAATAGTCCAACTTACACAAGCATCAAGGGGAGACTACTGTCACAACAGACTTCAAGACGATGAAGCAACACTACTGCCATTCTAAGCTACACTGTGAGACAGTGATGTGTTTTTGAAAGGGAATGATTTCACAATAAAAGGTAGCAAATGGTGGTTTTAAATAAGATACATACACTATTACTTACATAATCAAACTCATTCAGGATCAAATAAAATACACACACCCTTACCTACACACACATCCAGTACAGACTGTACCTACAAACACAAGTATATCCCATCACAGCATCTATTAGCATCACTCACATAGAAACATATTGGTTAAACCATAAGGTGAAACATACAAGTAAGACCTATACAATGAAGGTAACACACTTAAAACATACAGGTAACATACACAGGTAAAACATTAATGTACATGGGAAACATACAAGTTAAACCTCTACAATGTAGGTAACACACTTAAACCATACAGGTAACATACAAAGGTAAAACATTAATGAACATGGGAAACATACAAGTTAAACCTCTACAATGTAGGTAACACACTTATAACATACAGGTAACATACACAGGTAAAACATTAATGTACATCGGAAACATACAAGTTAAACCTATACAATGTAAGTAACACACTTTAAACATACAGGTAACATACACAGGTAAAACATTAATGTACATGGGAAACAAACAAGTTAAACCTATACAATGTAGGTAAAACTCTTTGAATATACAGGTAATATACAGGTAAACTATAACATGGGAAAAACATGGGTGAAACAAACAAGTAAAACCTATACAATGTAAGTAACACACTTTAAACATACAGGTAATATACATTATGCAGGTAAAACATTAATGTACATGGGAAACATACAAGTTAAACTGATACAATGTAGGTCATACACAGGTAAAATGAACATTTACTGTATGTGCATGAGAAACATGGGTAAGACGTACAGGTTAAATCATAAAGGTAAAACACACAGGTTAATCATACAGGTGAAGAGCACAGGTAAGACATACAGGTGAAACATACTGTACCGTTAAAACATACAAGTGAAACACACAGGTAAAACATACAAGTAAAACATATGAAACATCTATAGGTAAAACGTCATACCGATAACAAGCACAGGTAAGACATACCTATTAACATACAGCTACATAGACAAGTAAATTATACAGTTGAAATCCACATGTAAAACATACAATGTGTAGGTAAAATCTAGTTAAAACCTACAATTGAAACCTACAGGGAAAACACAGGTAAATCATACAGGGGAAATCAACATGCGAGACATACATGTACACACACAGGTAATATTTACATTGTAGTTCTGCCTGATGAGTGTAAACAATGTCTACACTTAAACATGGTTTAATTAACACTATAGCATAAATAAGTGTTCTGTTAATAAACTGTAAACATTTGCCAAATTGTAACAAATATAAACTCTGTGACATGCATAACCATTTCTAACTTCTGTTCCAATCTGTAAGGTTTTATATACCTACAAACGTTTCTACAAATATCAAGTGTTACAATTTGGGTAACTAAGTCTTAAATACATTTTCACTTGGAAAAAGAACAATTTTTACTACAAAATCGGTATCATTTTCAGGATAAATCTGATAAGTTCTCCTCAGTTTGTAATACAGTAGCCATGTTTAGGATTGTTACATATTGTAGCCAGGTTTGACTGTATCCATTATTACCAGGTCAGAGAGAGCACTTTCCATCACTTCAATTTCTAACTACATCACAATGTTTAACGCACAAATAGGGATGTTCTCACGGATACCTGGCTGTCCCCAGGTGCTGTCGCCGGAATTTCGACAAGATGAAGGGCGTGGCTGCTAGTGCCAATAAGCTGATGCCAAGGAGGGGGCGGTATCGAATCCAGCCAATCGCAATCACCGTGAGAGACAGGCTGATGGACATTGACAGATTCAGAACTGTAACGCCAGCAGCTACCAGTTCGCGGATAATTGGCAGCCAATCAACTGTAACAATTAAAACCAGGTTCAAATTATTGTCACAATAATAATAATATTTTTATCCTAAACTACTTCGAAAGATAAGTAAAACATGTGAAATACATGTAAAGAGTTAATGATTAACTTGTCACTTGATGAAGACATTTACTTTTCAACATCTTTACCTGATCATAAGGAAACTAAATATCACTGTTTGAACCAAATCCTACATATTCTTAAAACTTTTATATATAAACCATACCACAAACTGTAAGTCTCAATGTAAACATTTCTATTCGTGAACTGTTAAATTCACAACTGTGAGAATGCTATTTTAATATTAATTGAAATTACGTAAAATATTAATAACATTCACCGAAGACGTCAACAACTATTTGCAATTAAGGCTCCTGGCATATTAAAGAAAAAATAATGCTCTAATGAAAAATAATGACATTACCATTATGGAAGGCATTGCTAAGAAATAACAAGTATGATTACATTGTTGAAATCTGGAATGAAGTGCTTATTACTAAAATTAATTCGACTAAAAAGAGCAACCTTTCAACCTTATTTACATTAAAGTTGTGATCTGTGATCTCATTACCAACAGTATGACCCTATGACCTTTCCAAGAGAATAAAGAAGTGACCTGACCAAGGGTGTGACCTCAATGTTTAAAACCCGACCCATAGTAAAGTTCTGCAACGATAAAGAGTGTCCCTGTGACATTTATATTTCTGTGACCTTGACCTTGAAAGTGACTGGGACCTTATCACTAGAAAGTGACCATAAGACCTTTTCAAGACCTTGTGATCTAGGTTTTTTACGAGAATGGACCCAGTATCTTACCCTGAGTAACCCTTTGTCCTTTACTTTACTAAAGTGATCTTGTGACCTTACTTATTGACCTTATGACCTTTCCTACAGTTATATCATTGACCTTATTTTTAGAGGGACCCACTGACTTTACTAACACTGCCTCTGTGACCTTACCCACAGAGTGACCTTGTGACCTTTCCTTTATATATTTCTGACGTTACCATTATTTTAAGGATGACCCACTGACTTCTCTAACACTGCCTCTGTGACCTTTCCCACAGAGTGGCCTGTGACCTTACTAACAGTGTCCCTCCAGCATTACCGACTGATCATGAGTGACCTATGAACTTGATACCTAGAGATTGACCCTGTGACCTTACCTAGAGTGCTGACTATACTGGTAAGACATCCGAAGCCTACAAACATGAGAAGCCAGCCCCCAAACCTGATGGCCCAGGTCATAACAGTGTTTGTGCTGTGTTCTTTAGCAAACATTGCCTGCAAAAAGGATAAATCAAATCTCATGTATACATTTGGTACAGTTAATTTCTTTATGATGTATTTTTTTCAATTTTGCAGAGGAGCTGCATTCAAAATCTATTATTATCATATCTTGTTGTTTTCATAATAAATGGCTCTCTGTCCGTTTCTGGCGGCCAGTTGCGCTTTCTGCTCATATAAGGTGTATGTTTATCTATTGTCACTTCTATAGGTGATCTTGTTAATAAAGTGATATTTAAGCGAAATACACATCAAAACAGTTGATAATAAAAAAATTGTCAATTCAATTGAATTACATAGATTGTATTGCAGGAAAAACAGTGCATGATGAAAACGTGATAATAAACGAAAAGTGATATTAAGTGATATGATATTAAGTGAAATGCACTGTATTTTAAATATTTCCCTGTGTTAATCATCTGTTGTACCAATCGATGTGTACTCATATTAAGCCTTTAAATCATTGTGTGGATGGGTCTACAAGTATCAAACAAACCTTGGCAGACAGGGCTCCCTCGTACAGTAGTTCTAGGGTGTCCCCAGCAATGGTATTGTAACCCTTCAGCTCACTCCCCAACTGTCGGGCCACAATGCTCACCTTTATAAATGGAGATAAGCAGATATGTTACATATACATTGTTTAATTTTGTACATACACCTCTATACTATACTCACCTTTATAAAGGGAGATAAGCAGATATGTTACATTGTTTAATTTTGTACATAAACCTCTATACTATGCTCACCTTCATATAGGGAGATATTGTACATAAACCTCTAAACTATGCTCACCTTCATAAAGGGAGATAAGCAGATATGTTACATTGTTTGATTTTGTACATAAACCTCTATACTATGCTCACCTTCATATAGGGAGATATTGTACATAAACCTCTAAACTATGCTCACCTTTATAAAGGGAGATAAGCAGATATGTTACATATACATTGTTTAATTTTGTACATAAACCTCTATACTATGCTCACCTTCATAAAGGGAGATAAGCAGATATGTTACATATACATTGTTTGATTTTGTACATGAACCTCTATTGTTTGATTTTCTACATAAACAGTGAGATCATTAAGAGCTGTGTCCTAATGTATTGTATATATAAGGGAGGTGGGAGGCACTTGAATTATTACATTATGGGTTATAGTGTTAAAACCAGATCTGCCTACCATTTCTTATATTAAAACACTTTTTAAGATTTTATGGGTGATGGGATCCCTGAAAAAGGTGCCTCCCATACGTCTACAGTTAGTTCTGGAATAACCCTAACCCTTTAACATCTATGTAACTTCAATAGACTCTATCATACATTGTTCTAGATGAGTTCATTACATTCTTCAGTGGTTACAGGGTTAAAAGATATAGTTCACTAAATTCATGAACCACAATACTTACACTATCTGCATCTCCCATCATCGATTGTCCACTGAGACCAGCATACTCAAATTTTATCCTCAAGTCACCCGCCTAGCATACAAATAAAACACAATTACAATTAGAAATGCTCATTCTAGAAACTGATTTATAATTAACTTAGGTTCTTTTCAATCACATGGGTTATATTTTTTAGATATTTAGATTTTAATTGGGTATGTTATAACTTGCACAATTCAGTATCAATTCTAAAAGTAAAATGGACCACATTAAAATGACCTTGACCTTTGAATGCAACCCCAAAATAGATAGTGTTTCAAAAACAATTAGTGACATGTTTGTTAGGTTAGACGAGTGTATAGCTAACAAGATCATCCATGTAATAGTCTGGCGTGTGTTTTCAAGTACCATTCAGTCATATCAATCTTGCATTATGACCTTTGAACCCAAAGTTAAACAGGGTTCTTATCTCTTGTGTGGATAATGATTTTTTTATAGTTTAGCGAGTCTCAGCAGCTGAACATCTTAAATCTTTATTAAAAATATAAGGTTTTATTTTTAGGTACGTACTGTACATAGTACCAAGTCATGCTGACCTTGCATTGATTATGTCTTTGAAATTAACCTGTGTGCTAATTAATGAGTTTTCAATGTGTGTGTGCTTTTACCTGTGGATTGGTTGGATTTAAGCTGTGTATAAAGAGTCCATCCAACACATGGATACTTGGATCATTTGGTTTGATAATTAACTCAGCTTCCACTGGCCTAAAGTTGGAAATCTTTCCCACCAAACCTATACAGATAAGGCAAAATAAAATTGTCAAATGACTGAAATGTTTGGCATAGTTTGTGACCTAATATTGTGGAATCTTTGTTTCTACAGGTCAGATATACCCTGTGTATTTAACAGTTTGGAAACACAAGTACATTAACATTATTTCCATGAAAGTCATTCAATGTCTCCTAAATATTTCTGAAATGTTACGATTTGAACTGATCCAAGATTTTTTATTTATTTTTAATCTGGTAGATACTAATTTCTATCAAAGTCGATCCTGAGGAAATCTACTTTATAAAAGTATTAAGCCATCTTAATTTTTTTTGAAAAAACGGTTAACAATAATGAAAAGAATTTTCATTGGTAACTACCACAGTTGAACTAGCTTCTAACTTACCTGGAGATAGCTGAAACTGTCCTACATTCACCAGGTGAGCTGTCTGGGTCTTAGACTTGACTGCCATGGATCTGTAACAGTCATAAACGGAGAGTTTTAGCGTGTTTGTATATGAGGATACTAAAGGAGATATCATATACATGTATAATGGCATAAATGGGAAGATACTCTACATGATGGTATTGGTGGGGAGGTACTGTGGTGGCATCTTCGCTAGCCAAGTGTTCGCTTCGTATATACACTCCACTTACCCTTGGCGGATATAGCCGTGTTTTCCGAGCCTTCAAATTATCGTAAGTGGAGTATATACGAAGCGAACACTTGGCTAGCTAAGATGCTGTAAAGGAGGTTGAGCTAAAAACATAACGATAATTAGACAACATTTCAAATTATGTCAGATCTTCTGTTTTAAATAAATGAGAAGATCTGACATAATTTGAAATGTTGTCCGATAACCCTTATCAGCTGTGTTTTAGGAGAGTTATATCCCTTGGACAGACGACCCTGCTGACAACGAGATCTTGACCAGTCCCATGATAACATTATTGCTGTGACATATCTCTACATGGTAACTTTGCACCCTGATTTTCAAAAGATAAGCATTAGAGTTTTTACCTCCAGAGTCTTTGGTAGTTACGGTTTGTTTGTTTGTTTGTTTGATTTTGTTTAACGTCCTATTAACAGCTAAGGTCATTTAAGGACGGCCTCCCCTGTGTGCAAGATGCATGTGTGTAGTGTATGCGTGTGTATTTTGGGAGGCTGCGATATGTTCGTGTTTATCTCCTTGTGATAGCGCGGAACTGATGCCGACTTTATAGTGCTACCTCACTGAAACATACTGCCGAAGACACCCAGCAGGACGCCTCACCCGGTCACATTATACTGACAACGGGCGAACCAGTCGTCCCACTCCTAATTTGCTGAGCGTTAAGCAGGAGTAGAAACTACCATTGTTAAAGACTTTGGTATGTCTCGGCCAGGGGACAGAACCCAAAGCCTTCCTCACAGGGGCGAACGCTCAACAAATGGCCAAAAGTGAGGCATTGTCAAGGGAGACATTAGGAAGAAGAAAGTTATTTAGAAAGGAGAGAAGAGATAAGGTCCCAAATTTAGTCGCCTCTTACGATCATGCAATTGGGGGCAGCAGGTACAATTCTTACGCCCTACCTGCAGGGACTTGGTAGTTACGGTGAAGTGAGCTAGACCTTAGACCCCATGCAGCAATGGTATGTGAACATGTACACCATCGTTTCCTAAAGTAGTCATGATAGGTGACTTTTTTTATCACCAGTTCACTTTAACAGTTGCTTTAAGCCTAAACATGAAATGTCTTCTCATCAATTAAAACAAAGAAGAATTGATCTCAAACTATTTCATACAATTTAATCAACAGGAAAATGATTTAATGAATCACAGAATTTATCTTACTGTTAATTTTACTTCACATCACCATATCTTGTTTGTATATCAACCTGTCTACTTACGTTGGGTTTCGATGGCTAAATTCGCTATCAAATTGTGCACTTCTCACGAGATCAGACCTCCACTCTTGTGCTGTAATAACGAATCATTATGCTTGTAAAATTAATTTCTGACTTGGCCCATTGTTTCTAGCTGCAGATATGGTAACTTATTGGCATCCTCAATACTCAAGGAGTTATGCTCATTTACGTTTCTGCACCCAAGAAAAATATCAAGAATAATTTGAAGACTCTGTGTGCGCCACCTTGTGAATGACTAGTTTGGTCTTTTGATGTATATCAAAGTAGAGACATGGAAGCATAACAGTATAATTGGCTGGTTTTTATGTCTGATGTTTCTCCTCTGTAATCTTCAAAGGACATGTATCAGCCTAGCAATTGGTCAGGTTTTCTTTACCTTATTTTTCAATCTAATAACTAGCCTTATGACTTTGATTCTAGCTGTCATGACATATTCTAGAAGTGCAAAGAACGTGAGCATAATCTCCAGACTTTGGAGGATGTGGCAAGTCTATACATTATGATAGCACTACATTCACTTGACTTCCATGATTGCGAGTTAAAGTATTGTGTAAAAACTCAATAAATGCAAATCAGCAACTTTACACTGCATGCTATATAACAAATGCTAACGCACACCATAGTATATGTTCGTTGCAAACTGCGTTCATTGGACCGTATACGCCGTCAAGCATTAAGTAACAAACAGATGCAGTCATTGCGGTTACAATTATACATGTAAGCAATAACCACAAGATAACCGGAACAGGACATAATAATTTCGATAGAGACAAATGTCAGTGTTCAACCTTATGTACCGGTCTCTGGTAAAAACACTGTGTTTTAAACATATATTTATGCAATTTTCAAGAAAAATACAGTACTGTATACAACCTTAAAAGCATCCCATCCTTTATCAGCACATATTTTCTAATTTCTGATCTGCATGTTGCATTCCTTTGCCATAAATTACAGACTAGCTTGAAAACAAAATTTATGGCTCAAATTTTCAGAATTTTGCATAGTTTATGCAAACCTTCAATCTTTCCTAAATTGCTAAGCATTCAGAATTTCAAGTTGTTTAGGTCAATTACTTAAATAAATAAATCCCCTTAGCCCTTCATGTAAATGGAAAATCCTATTTATGTCAAAAATCATGATCATGGTCTGCAAAATGATAGGGCTTGACTATAGACTAATTTTACTAAATTGGTAGATACTCTATTTGCAGATATGAAAATACAGTCAAGGGGAGATAAGCACACTCACAATAGGAATAGGTAGTTTCTGTCCTGGTATGGCTGCCTTCATTGTGCTCTCTGAAACAAAAATCAAATTTAGTCATTACAATGTAGGGAACAGGATACCCAGTGTCTTTAAGAAGAGTTAAGTGTGGTTCAGGTTACCTAGCTCACTGATTCTTTACAGGCTAAAGGGTTGCGGGTTCGAGTTACGTCAAGGCACTGTGTTGTATCTTTGAACAAGATACTAGATACTACACTCTACTTGTTCCAGTCTACTCAGTTGTAAATTGGTACGTGGTTGGGCAGTGCTAGACTTGTAGAATGCTTGCTGTGAGTGCCGAAATGGCAGCACCAGCTGTATGCTCCCCAGGGAGTTGAGAAAGATATTGGCTGATTGCAAAGGCCCTATAACCATGGATAATAATTTGTCAACCGATTTTAGACTACCTACTAACTAGGTTGTGATAAAGCGGTATATAAGAACCTCAAATTATTATTATTACATGACTACATTAAGACGGGTTTCACAGCTTCAATTTGTAATTACACATTAGAACTGTCGTAACCAGAATATAATTTAAAATATCAGTTTTAAAGTATTCATTGTTGTAAAGTATTGTGATGTCAAACTTGGTCAAAGAAACAGTTTTGAATTGATTAAAACCTGGATTCAGGAGTTGCTTCCCTTATTTGCATAATTCACAAATAGTCAAATATAGATCAAAGCTATGATTTCCAGCTGGACATTGTTGTGGATATCTCTTTGATTATACATACATCCATGTTACTCAATACCGGCGGTGTTACATTATATACTGTGGAACCCCACTAGCCCTGGCTTCATACCTTCTTTCCTATACTTTCTTTATTGAAGGACTGGGTGTTCCCTTTATTTTCATTACAAGCATTCAAAATAGAATTAAAAACATCCAGAATATATTACGTTTTACTTTGATGCTCCACCCACTGAAACATCTCCACTGTCCGCCTCAGGTGGACCGAATGTACTGCAATATCATAGGTCGGATCTGTCAGCACCTATAAACAGTTAATAAAGTACAAGTTTATACATGTGTCTGTCCGGTGGACAGTCAAAGGGTTTTGAAGGGGTTAATTATGGACATGTTTAAATGTTGATTTCTGGTCCTTTAAAGAACCAGAAAATATAAAAGTGTATTTATATAAAAGCAACATATTTTGCTGCAGTTGGCACATCAAATAGTAGAAATAAAAACAATTTTCAAAGTGATATGGTACTTACTGTACCAAGCAGCATGGAACTAATCATAACCAAAAAACAGATGAAAACTCATTCTGAGTACAGCCTCCTATTTTTAAAAACAAATTACTTTGAATCAAAACTTTTCCTGAAAATGAACCGTCTTTGTCAAGATCGAATAATAAACCATTCCAGATACAATATCTGGATTTTTAAATATGACTGAAAAACTGTCAATATTGTACCATTTATGGTATTGTGACGTTAGCCTACAATTACAAGTAGTATTTTGGTTTGGTTTAGTATTGTTTAACGTCCTATCAACAGGACCATCAACCCAGTTTTCGACTATCTGCCGAATTATTTATACATATAAATACAAGAGTTTCTTTGTAACCTTTTGTTTTACAGTTGGCAAAAGACAATGAGGTCGACGTCACTTTGATTGTGATTATTTTCACTTACCCTTTCTGTCTTTAATTTGCCAGTGAGGTGGACAAGTTTACCATGGTTATGATCAAACACTACATTGGTGTTATCTAGGGGCACCACACTGGCTAAACCTTCATCAAGAGATTGGGCAGTCTGAACTGCTCGGCCCTACAAACAAATCAGATTTACTGATGAATTTTAAATCAATCCTTGTAAACAAAGTGCTTGAAAATGAAAAAGGCATGTTAATACATGATATCATGATACCTTCTTTTACTACGTTATTTCAAGCTTTTTAAACTGTTTCAGGAACACTTGCTAGCGATAAATGAAATGGGTTTGATACGAAAAATGTTGATTGTAACAAGTTATATGTAATTATCTTCAATTTGAAACTTGACCTTCAAAATTCATACACGCTGTAGTTCTGCCCAAACAGGTGTTTCAAAAATAGGTAAATGCCCACCAATACAAAAACTGACTGCTATTAATGATGGACTTTGTAGATCTATAACTTATGGATTTCTGTTTTAAATCTAGTTTACACAAAAATTGGTCTGCAACATTACAAAGCACATGTACAGTATGGTAAATGTGACTGCGACGTGGCATAGAATTGTGATGTCATACTTGGTCAATGTATGAATGTGTGTCTACATCCTCGATATCCAGGAGTTACGCTCACTTTCTGTCTCTGCACCCCTGGAATATGTCATAGCAAAATTGAAGGCACGAAGATAGCTGTTTGATTGGTCTCAGGTAAAAAAAACCTGCTAGGCTGATACCTGTCCTTTGAAGATTACAAAGGAGAGACACCGACTTCCAAGCCTGTCAATTTTTACCATTACGTGACCGCAAGATTCTTTTGATGAACATCAAAGGATCGAACTAGTCTTCTTGTCTCATCAACAAGGTGGTTCACTCTGTGCCTTCAATTTTTCTATGACATATTCCAGGGGTGTAGAGAGCAACAGTGAGCGTAACCCCTTGATATCGAGGATGCACACTTGGGTCAATGTATGTGTGTCTGCAATGTCACAAAGTATTGTGATGTACGTCATACTTGGTCAATTGTGTGTCTACAATGTCACAGAGCATTGAAGTGTAAAACCTTTTAAAATCAAATGTGATTGTGATGTCACTGAAAAATTTCCTGACCATAAATGAGAAAGTATGGATACCTCACAACCTCTTTGGGCATTATATGAACATAAATAAAAAAGAAATACGGGTAAGTTTGAATTTACCTCATTCCAAAAAAGTAGTCCAGAGGCAACAACAAGCAATACAATTCCAATCAGTATCCCAGCACAGCTGTTTCCAACTCGCTCCAAAAATGTGGCATTCCTCCTGTACGTGGTACGAGTGTGCCTATCATTCATATTGTGCAATCCAGGGTCATCTGGATACTAACAAACCATTAAAGAAAAATCTGATACAAATTGGAAATAATCAAACAATCATAATGTATATAGATCACTGTATATGGGAGACTAGATTCAAGCCACAATTCAAATTCTTGTAGGGGTGCATGTACACACGAGGCAACGAGGGGGTCTATTAAAATAATATCTAATCAATCTGTCCAATTGAGGAAAATTCATTTGTTTATCTAGTAAATAAAAACCCAACCTGCCCTGGGATAGGAGGCAAAAGCCCAATAACGTCGAGACTATATCCACTTATGAATATTTCTCTGAAATCATCTTCTCCACTAGGGCTTGACATATATTGCTACCAGTATTTATGGGTTTGTTTAAATAACAGGCTTTACTGAGATACAATGTATATCTTAAACTAGTTATTTCTATATGATATTCTATAGAGTATAACATACTTTACATTTGGAGACCAAAGTATCTAAACTAGGTTGTCCAATTTGTTAACAATTTGATAAACCCTACACTATTGTAGTATCCGGGTTGTTTCATCCTAAATCCTGTTCGTACTACGGGTCGTTTTGCCCTATATCCAGTTTGTACTACAGGTTGGTTCGCCCTATATCCAGTTCGTACTACGGGTCGGTTCGCCCTATATCCAGTTCGTACTACGGGTCGGTTCGCCCTATATCATGTTTGTACTATGGGTCGTTTTGCCCTATATCCAGTTCGTACTACCGGTCGTTTTGCCCTATATCCAGTTCGTACTACGGGTCGGTTCGCCCTATATCCAGTTCGTACTACGGGTCGGTTCGCCCTATATCCAATTCGTACTACGGGTCGTTTTGCCCTATATCCAGTTCGTTCTACGGGTCGCTTTGCCCTATATCAAGTTTGTACTATGGGTCGGTTCGCCCTATATCCAGTTCGTACTATGGGTCGTTTTGCCCTATATCCAGTTCGTACTACGGGTCGTTTTGCCCTACATCCAGTTCGCCCAAGGTTGTTTCGCCCTAATATAAATATGTATTTTAAAGTACAGTAGATTTCTCTTAATATCACTTTCCATTTGTCAGAGAAAAAACATGATATTAACAGAAACATGGCATTAACAGAAGAAATATTTTCTGACGTTTTTCAGCCCTCAAAACCGGAAGTGAACTTAGTCAAATGCCTAAGTGATGTGGCTCTACGAAGAAGATTGATATTTTGTAACTAACCTTGTTCTTTCCTCTAGTTTAAATATAGATTTAAGTAAATAAGTAAAGAAATAAATATATTATTTGTATTTTATTTCAGTATGTAGTTACATTTCATATAGTTAGTGGCAAAATGACGATCAGTACGATTGTAATTATGATTGTTTACTGCAGTAGTGATGTAGGCATACAAGTGTTTGGCTGGTATTCTGTATCAAAATCAATTGTAAACATGAGACTTCATAAATATTTACCTTTATCTTGATATAAATACTGTTCTTTCGCTAGTAACATCTTTTTATAGTTAAATTTCTTTAGATATTTGCGGCAACTGTGTAATCGAAGATAGTACACATGTTATAATTAGTCGAAAGATTACATCACACTTGGCATTAGAAAAGTTTACAGATGTTTGACTGTCCTAGCTCCCCCAACCACAGGTGAATATCATGTTAACAAGTATGTAAGTCAACCTATTGTTTAACAGTCAGCTAGGTGTAACCTATTGTTTGACAGTCAGCCAGGTGTAAAAAATACCCTGTAAGGCTGAGGTGTTGTTTACATAGCGCGTCCAGGGTGTCACAAAAGGTCCCCAGGGCATTTATCATGAATCTTTACCACCATTTACCTGTATTTTTTTTGTGACAGTGGCCAAAATAAAGTGATATTAAGAGAAATCAACATAAAAACAGGTGATAATAAAAAGATTGATTTCATAGATTATAAAGCAGGAACAACGGTGCATCAAAAAAACATGATAATAACCGAAAAGTGACATTAAGCGACGTGATATTAGGTGAAATGTACTGTATAAGTATCAGTTGAAATGTTTTTAATAATTAACACTTAAATTTTTTCGTGTTTCGCAAACAACTGTGCTGTGGAGAGAGTTTCATGCTGATGTATGCTACATTGTATGTGCATACCATGGCCAGTAGACTGTGTAGGAATCTAACAAGTCTAAAGACAAAAAAGACTTGAAGGGAGACTTGGGAAAACTTTCAATGCGACTCTATTCGCCATACAAAACTTAACAGGGCTAATAAAGTTTCGTACTGTAAACATTTTAGTGCGAAACGACCCAGGGCAAACGGGATTTGGCGAATCGACCTGACACCCTACTCTATAGGCCTTTAAGTACACTATGTTACCAAATGACTCATTGAATGAGCAATGTCAATATGTATTTGTGTTATAACTTCAGCTAATTTTAGAAGGCAATTTCTGTTATCACCTGTATTTACCTGATCGAAGTATATTGGTATGGTTATATATAGAATTATAAACAAACTAAACAACATATCTTTACTTTACAACATCTCAATGTGTGAAGCATGTGAATATTACTAGTTCTTAGGCCTACACAGTTATTTATGTTTAAAATTACTTTATTACTAGGCTATCACCAGAACACCACTGCACATAAATGTGTCAAGGTTAATTGATGAACGTTTCTCTCCGACTTCAATCTATTGAATTTAGACTTGTAATTCCGCTCCTCTACGATACACTCCAGGTAAAGTATTACAAGCCTAATTTTAAGCACAGTTGCTCGGGTTCTGGAATATGTGTTATATTATCGCACCTCACTAGATGTCCCCAACCTGTAATTTGCCTGACGAAACACCTACCGTTACACCTGGACAGATAAAAAGACTCCTCTGAAATACTTACATTACGCCTATACATGTCAGTAGGTTGAGATATGAGAAATAATCTACAGACAGGACATATGACTTTCTTCTCACGTTACTCGGACTTTACTTGATCGAGTTGTTGCTAGTTTCACTTCAAACCGGAAATGAATTAGGCCGCATTTCATTGGGCAATACCGTGTCACGTGCTAAGGGTATTTCCCTTATGCGTCGTCTGCACACGTGTACGTGCCTATAAGGTGACAGAAATATAAATGACCAATTTGTACCTGAACGGACACGTCGTATTTCTACGATAACGGATTTTCTTAAAAGGTAAATGGTAATCTCAGTCAACAAAAAAAGTAAACTAAAATAATGAATTAAGGCAAGCCGTATATTGTACGTCTCTGAGTAGATCTTATATCATTAATTTTCATCCTCGTACATTTGTACGTATAATAATAATAATAATATCTATTCAGGTAAAAGGCATAAAAATACACGTATATCACATTTTGTAGGTTTGACATAACTATATACTATCACAGATGTTATTTATAAGTTATTTGTGCCATAGAACTAGCACGGACTTAGATATCTAATCTAATTCCGTGGAACTAGTAATCAGTCAGAGTGTTAAAACTGGATTTGATTCAATTAAATTTAGGCCTTTACCTGGGATGACCCAGAAAGCCACATTGTCACTTAATTCCAATGGGGTCCCTTAGATCTAAATAAATCAATTCAATTCACAAAAAGTTACATAATTATATAATAGATATCGATAATTTGATAAGACTCTATAAGAACCTTTTATAAATGTATTAAGAGACTTATACAATTATAAGCACATACTTGTACCATAGGCTTTATAATCAATTAAATAATGCTGGTAATTGAAATGATATAAAAAATAAAGTTATTAACCATATATTGGAATTTTAACAATTAGGTATCAACTTAAAATATTACTTGCAGAAGAGGGCTTGTGGTTGGATCAATCCCTACCAACCAAACTCTCAGACTGCTTATATATATAAATTAATGTACATAGAAGTGTATCCCGTTTAGAATAGTTAAAATCCGATACAAACGATACATTTGAAAAAAAATGAATTTTATTAAAACCTGGTTGTTTCTTGCAGAAGAGGGCTGTTGAATCGGTGGTTGGGCCAGTCCCTACCGACCAAACTCTCTTACTGCATAAAGTAATAGTAATTGACATTATGACATACACAACATACAAGAAATTGGAATATGAATAGGATTTAAGTCAGAAGTATAATGCCTTTGAATAATTCAATTGACAAATTTTAGCAAGTATATTTAAATTAATTGCTACTTGCAGAAGAGGGCTGGTGGTCGGGCCAATCCCTAGCGACCAAACTCTCAGACTGCATAGAAAGTAACACTATAGTGTAATTTAATAACAGCATTTATGATAGTATTTGAATTAAGAAGTAAAAGGTTATATATCACTTAAGTCTCACCATTACACTTTCACAAAATCGCATTTTTGTTTATATCTAAACTTTGATGTTAAATGTTGTTTGACCAGAATTTAGAACCCGTGTAAGTTGTTGGTAGCCTTAACATTTTCTGTTAATGCATTTTAATCTTTTATTGCATTGTTAGAGAAAGATGTGGTTCTACCCCACTTATATTATGTATATAAAAGTTATACTAGCTTGATGTTGTACACCTCTTGTTGTTCCTTTCAAAACCTTCCTTCGTATACGTTGGAGATTTTTCATTGAACATTTTAAAAACATGGTTTAATCTCAGTTGAACCACTCTATTACTTACATTCAATCTAAATCCAGAATGAAACCAACAACCTTGTTTTGTGTAACTTGAAGTTTGTGTTTAAGATTTTTGGAGATACCCTCGTACCAAGATGAACAAGCATATAGTCAAAATGACATTGGATAAGTGCCGAGCAGATCATAGTGTTTTCTTGATGGCAGAGATAGACTTTTTCTGTATGTATGCACTGAGTTAGATTAGCTTAGTCCTTGGTACATGTTTGTGATTTCTTTCGGTTTTAAAGGTATCTCATTTGCCTAAAAGTCAATTCTTTGCATCCCTATATGATTTTTTTTTTTTTTTAAATGGAATAAAGTTGACGAACGACAGACGCTTCGCCCTTGCAAAAGTTCACCAGTCCTTCGGACAGGGACAAGTTCGGCTCCGTAATTTAAGTCTGGCAACCCATGATATTGGGAGGATATGGAAAAGAAAAACTCAATTACAAAAATTAGTAAAATGAAGAAAGTTACTTTTGGGAGGATAGAAAGAAAATCATGACCTAAACTCTTTCTAGTTTTGCGAACTTTCTGTAAACCGAATTGTTACTTATTTATGTTATATACGTATACTTTAACACACCGACAGCTTCACATAATATTATACATGAATCCTAGCATTCACTTTCGTATTGCTGTGATATACGATTTTGTTTTAAATATCTTTGTGGGGCAGGTTCGGCCCAAAATACCGGGGCAAGTTCGGCCCATGCAACACATAAAAAACGTGAATTTGGCAGGGAAATATGACGTGGCATGCTTTATGGTTCCAACGTTGGCCAATGTGTTTGCCCTTTTGCTATTATTTTATGAAAGGCATGGGATTTCACTTCCAAATAGTTAATAAACACATAATTTTCGACAAATGCCATGACTGCTCCGAACGACGAAAAGAAAATGGACCGAACTTGTTAAATAATTGAATCAGCGTAGGAAATTCCCGACATGCAATTGCTGTTTCCGCTGTCACGGCTTCCTCGGTTACTTTATTGAGAACGTCTTTTTTGTCTTTTTGGGGGGTAACTACATATATATTTGTGAAATTCAAATGTGCTACTGTTTTGATTTCAATTTACGCATGGGTTAGGCACGCTGCGCAAGACCTGTGTCGCCTGTCCAGATTTCAACTCCTAATAGATCAATATTTTAGGAAACACATATTTGATCCCGGCTACATCGTAGAAGTACATGTACTCTATTTTCGTTATGTCTTCAATTTCGGACGGAAACACATACCGTGGGCCCGTATTTATGAAACTGTTCTCGTGCTCAAGCATGGATTTTATGCTCAAGCCTAATCTCTTGTTCTGGTTATAGATTAATATAAGAAATCTTATTTTATGACTGTTTTGGAACAAAATTAAAGGCCTATACTCTTTCTAAATTTTAATTTGATTTTTTGATCGTTTGACATGACTTATAGCGAGTTACAGGAAAGCTGGTTTGAGCACATCGTCCATGCATGCTTGAGAACGGACCCAAGTGTCGCTTTTCATATGTTCGAATTTTAGTGGAATTCTAATGTAAACATATTCTGTCGCTATTAGTCCCGAATTCGACTCCTACTGGAAGCACTCACTGTCACTAATCCAGGGTTCGATTCATAACAGAAAACATTTTGATACCATAAACATTGTCACCAACGTGTAACCGCTTGCACTTATTATAGGTAAAAGACAATAGCATGACGTCATGATCGGTAAAAATAAAGATACCCACTTGTGACGTCACATACTTGTTGCTAAGCTGCTTAGCAATCGGCGAAGGCGGAGATGATCAGTCTCTCCTCTGATATTTACTTCTTTTGTTTAAATCTTCGATTACCACAATGAATATCAGGTTATTCTTGGTATTTGTGGTAACGCTGTGCGCTATGCATCAAGGGCCTGCTGTATATCGGGACCTTACGTGGTAAGTTTGGACCAGACATGGTATACTTTTACTTGACATCGCGCAAAAATCTTGCGGAGCTCTAATGAACGTCAATAACTTTTTCAAGTTTAAGAAGGTGTTGCCATTGAATATTTAGAAATATTTACTCTTAACTTTATAATTTTAACTCTGTAGCGTGGAGCCCGAGCCAGGATATGCCAAAAGATTGTTTTATTATTTCACCGCAAGTGAAATTAAGAAAGTCTGTCCAACGGTTACCGATCTGACATGGGTAAGGATTACATAGTTTTTAATGTTAATGACTGTCATGAAAACGTCAACAGTTTTTATTTTACTAATAGTAAAGTAAGCTTATGCTTGTGATAAAGGTTAACTGATTCTACTTCTCATCAATTTATTAAAAACCTTATATATTTTACGCGTGTGCATTTCGTTTCGTAAGGGTTTCTTGTGTGTATTTCGCAATATTATTAGCCACCAGCTATGCTTTGTCAGCGTCCAGTTTTGACAAAACGGATTTCTTCTCCATTGTCCATATCTTAGGAATTTGCGGGTCTTGAACATTAAATGTTTGTATTATAGAATATATCCTTGAAAATCATTATGATTTGATTTATTTTAGCGAATTGGAAATGAAGTATTCTATAATCTGCTGTGTGTGCTTCTTACCCTGCTGTTGGGCTATGGGCCGTCAATTGGAAAAATCGTCAAAGAGAAATGGTCAGCCGCTGTGTCAATGTTCCGAGAATGGAGAGCTCGTAAGTAACCAGCGAAGGTTAAAATATTGAATAAAGCAGCCCTTCTAATGAATTATAGTTTTCTCACTTTCAGTTCTAGTGTTCTGTTTATCTTGTAATTAAGACGTTTTCGAAAAATAATATACCTTTTTTAAACCTAGTGTTTTAATAACTACCTTAACGCCCCACCTTGCGGTTGATACACGTTTGCTAGCTTATATTAAAGCGAATTGTTTGGTAACGAACAGTGTAATTGTGATCTTGATAGACTTTAATCTCAGAGAAGCTCTTTGGTCATGCTTAAAGAACGGGAACCACTTTCTATAAGCCTTGTAATTTGTCAGATTTGTGTGTCTGGAACCAGTCAGATAGGTATCTGTTAGTCCCGGTTCCGTTCTGCTTACATCTCAGGATGCATAGAAAGTAATGTTTTGTGTTTCGTAAACTTAAACCCTGGATTTCAAAAGAAATATCTTGGCGTATTAAATATTTGTTTGTGCAGGCCCTTCCCTCTGCCGTCACTGCGGTACTGCCCCGTGTCAGGTTAAAAGGATATCCTTGTGGAAGCCCTCCGGTACTCGTAAGAAAGACGAGGCGAATTTTGCAAAAAGGTCAAACGCCATGATGTTGTTTTACTATGGACTAGAGTGGTCCGTAGTACTGACCAAAGAGCTGCCATGGAATGACCTGTACTTGAAGAGGAAGTTCGTCCAGCATTTTGAGGAGGAGCATATGGTATTGTTCCCAGTGTGCATCCAGCGTCAGATCAACTACTGGTACCCTGTCCCTTGCTAGGTATGTACTCTGTCCCTCAACTGGTACTATGTCCCTCGGTTGATTGGTGTTATATCCGTCTCTAGACCCCTTCCTGAATTGGTACTATGTCCCTCCCTATGTATTCCGTCCCTTAATAAGTTGGTACCATGTCCCTGCTAAGTACCCTGTCCCTCGCTAGGAACACTCTCACTCACCATGTCCTATGTCCCTTGATAGGTCGGTACTTTTCCTCTCTAGGTACCAGGTCCCTCCCTAGGTTCTCTATCCCTAGCTAGGAACACTCTCACTCACTATGTTCTATGTCCCTTGATAGGTCGGTAGTCTTCCTCTCTAGGTACCATGTCTCTATCCCTCGCTAGGAACACTCTCACTCACCATTTCCTATGACCCTTGATAGGTCGGTACTTTTCCTCCCTAGGTACCATGTCCCTCCCTAGTTTCTCTGTCCCTCGCTAGGAACACTCTCACTCACTATGTCCTATGTCCCTTGATAGGTCGGTACTCTTCCTACCTAGGTACCATGTCCTTCCCTAGGTTCTCTATCCCTCGCTAGGAACACTCTCACTCACTATGTCCTATGTTCCTTGATAGGTCGGTAGGCTTCCTCTCTAGGTACCATGTCCCTCCCTAGGTTCTCCGTCCCTCGCTAGGAACACTGTCACTGACTAGGTTCTTTGTCCCTTGATAGGTCGGTACTTTTCCTCTCTAGGTACCATGTCCCTCCCTAGGTTCTCCGTCCCTCGCTAGGAACACTGTCACTGACTAGGTTCTTTGTCCCTTGATAGGTCGGTACCCTTCCTCTCTAGGTACCATGTCCCTCCCTGGGTTCTCTATCCCTCGCTAGGAACACTCTCACTCACTATGTCCTATGCCCCTTGATAGGTCGGTACTCTTCCTCTCTAGGTACCAGGTCCTTCCCTAGGTTCTCTATCCCTCGCTAGGAACACTCTCACTCATTATGTCCTATGTCCGTTGATAGGTCGGTACTCTTCCTCTCTAGGTACCAGGTCCTTCCCTAGGTTCTCTATCCCTCGCTAGGAACACTGTCACTCACTATGTCCCTTGATAGGTCGGTAGTCTTCCTCTCTAGGTACCATGTCCCTCCCTAGGTTCTCTATCCCTCGCTAGGAACACTGTCACTCACTATGTCCCTTGATAGGTCGGTAGTCTTCCTCTCTAGGTACCATGTCTCGATCCCTCGCTAGGAACACTCTCACTCACTATGTCCTATGCCCCTTGATAGGTCGGTACTCTTCCTCTCTAGGTACCATGTCCTTCCCTAGGTTCTCTATCCCTCGCTAGGAACACTGTCACTCACTATGTCCCTTGATAGGTCGGTAGTCTTCCTCTCTAGGTACCATGTCTCTATCCCTCGCTAGGAACACTCTCACTCCCTATGTCCTATGTTCCTTGATAGGTCGGTAGGCTTCCTCTCTAGGTACCATGTCCCTCCCTAGGTTCTCTTTCCCTCGCTAGGAACACTGTCACTCACTATGTCCCTTGATAGGTCGGTAGTCTTCCTCTCTAGGTACCATGTCTCGATCCCTCGCTAGGAACACTCTCACTCACTATGTCCCTTGATAGGTCGGTAGTCTTCCTCTCTAGGTACCATGTCCCTCCCTAGGTTCTCTGTCCCTCGCTAGGAATACTCTCACTCACTATGTCCTATGTCCCTTGATAGGTCGGGACTTTTCCTCTTTAGGTACCATGTCCCTCCCTAGGTTCTCTATCCCTCGCTAGGAACACTCTCACTCACTATGTCCCTTGATAGGTCGGTAGTCTTCCTCTCTAGGTACCATGTCTCTATCCCTCGCTAGGAACACTCTCACTCACGATGTCCTATGTCCCTTGATAGGTCGGTACTCTTCCTCTCTAGGTACCAGGTCCTTCCCTAGGTTCTCTATCCCTCGCTAGGAACACTCTCACTCATTATGTCCTATGTCCGTTGATAGGTCGGTACTCTTCCTCTCTAGGTACCATGTCCCTCCCTAGGTTCTCTATCCCTCGCTAGGAACACTCTCACTCACTATGTCCTATGTCCCTTGATAGGTCGGTACTCTCCCTCTCTAGGTACCATGTCCCTCCCTAGGTTTCCTGTCCCTCGCTAGGAACACTGTCACTGACTAGGTCGTTTGTCCCTTGCTACGTAGGTACCATATCCCTCGCGACGTTGGTGCTGTATATCCCTCTCTAGGTACCATGTCCATCGCTAAGTTGGTACTATATCCCTCTCTAGGTACCATGTCCCTCCCTTAGTTGGTACTATATCCCTGTCTAGCATGTCCCTTTCTAAGTTGGTACTATATCCCTCTTTAGGTACCTTGTCCATCGCTAAGTTGGTACTATATATCCTTCACTAGTTATTTTTTCCTGACTAGTTAGTTTTACCTTGTCCTCGCTAGGTTGGCTCCTCCCGAAAATAAAAAAAATAAATAAAAGGGATAGATTGTTTTGATTTTGAATAATCAATTTCATAAATTTTTAATATTCAATTACTTTTCCTTAATGCCAAAACTACCATGCATGACAACATATTCTGCAGTGGAGAACGGATAGATTGTGCATGACGTTTTCATGAAAGTTATTTATTGATTTCATTGCAGATTCGTTTCGCTGTTCAAAGAGAAGCAAGTGGATTGCAGTCGGTGATTGAGTAGAAGTTTGAGATTGACGTCAGTTTTTTTGGGTCACAATCCGATCCGATTGGAATGGTGTTTGGCCAATGTTATATTGTACCTTATATTTGTTATATTGAATTGTAACTCTATGGATCTTGACCACTAGTGGTTTCGTGAAGAACGGAACTGATACCTGATGAATTAGCCATTATAACTTAGCTAGTATTGTCCAACAGTGATCCACTTGATAATTTTCAATGGTGTTTGTTTGATTAGTCAGTTGCTAACATGTTTCTATTGGCCATTAGGTGATTTGAGTAATTGTGAAGCTGGGAAGTTGACTAAGTAGCATTGGTCAGTTCGAAGTCGGTTCGCCTGATGTAGATGTTTCCGGTATTTATTACATTATCAAGTTAGAACGATGTCGATCTTAACTGTTTCATAAGTGTTTTGAGAAAGTTTGTGAAATACTCAACGTATAGGTCAGCTCAAACCACCAGTGGTTCCACGCTGGTTGTGGCTATCATTTCGAAAGGTTCTACCTCTGACACATCTTGAAAGCTATCGCTCTCTCGTACATTTATGCTATGCTTAGTATTTTGGCTTGAGTCTGATGGTGTTGTCGTGGTCAGTTATACACTCGGTCAAACTGACCAACAGGTTCTGTAAAATTACCAACATGCATAATTCTGTTCATTTTGTACTGGTCAGTTTTGCTTTTGCGAATTTGTATAGTAACAATCATGTGATCAATAACATTCTTCAAATTGATTTTCGTCTTCATGTTTTTTGTAACCATCGTTTTAAACATGTCATAGGTTCGCAAAAACGTATGAAATGTCATGCATTGAGGTGGGACTTTGCTCATATTGCCGATACCTCCGCCTGTATTAATGAAACCGTTATCATGCTCAAGAATGGATTCTGTGCTCAAACCAACCCAGCTGTTACTCACTTAAATAATGTGACACGCTCAAAAAGTCAAATGTTAACATTGAAAATACACTTCGGCTTTAAGACTCCATAATTCTTCCAAATCATTGACAAAGTGTTTATTTCACATTTATCACTAGAACAAGATATTGGGCTTGAGCACAGAATCTGAGTTTGAGCATGAGAACGTTTCCGTGAATACGACACCTTGATTTACGGACATCCTCTAAATTCTTCATGTGTCATGGTATATTTTTAAAGAAGCTGATTTATTGGTCTATATCTCCGTATTTTACGGATACACTGTCATATTTGGCTATATATATACATACATGTACAATGTACATTATATAAAAAGTAAAAATAATCAACCACACCGTCACGTCCTTAGCACTTTCATCTCATCAAAGAGATTCTTCATGTTTATCTTGCCACACTATTTCAGAAAGATGTACTCCCAAGATTAAAAAAACCCGAAAATCAAAGAAAACAGAAACGAAAGGAGACATATGAAATGAAATTAAATTAGATTCGATTAAATTTCGTCTAGCATTGAATAGTTTATTACAAAATGTAAAAAATACAAACATCTACATTTAGAGAGAAGATTTAATCTTACTTATTTCAGAACTAAAACTCAATGAAGTGGACAAACTTATATAACAATGGATGTCTGTTGGAACGACTAAACTGTCACAGCTCGTTTGTTTATATTTGCAAGATGAGGAGGGAGGCTTTGGAAGAGCGTTGCACGTACCTTGTCCACTATAAATAGAACATGCACGTACATATTTACTGCCAAAATATTATTATATTATAGCCTTTGGCTGAGGTCGATAAATCCAGGTATTGACCGAAGTTAAAGGCTACAATTGTTTTATTATTTTACAAAATAGTAATGTAAGCAATCGAAGAAAAAAAGACTCGGAAGCGTGACGGTGCATTGTTTGGAGACACGTCATTATTCTATATTTAGAAATACCCAGTCATTTAACAAAAATCACGCGCTCCAAGTCAATATCGGTTTTTATCGGTGGACACGTGATGCACTCCTGCCCAATCACTTGTCGAGAATAATATGAAAAAATAATAATATTCAATTATAGCCTTTGGCTGAGGTCGATACCTGGATTTATCAACCCGAGAAAAGATATATTGACCGAGGACGCAGTCCGAGGTTAATATATCTATTCTCGGGTCGATAAATCCGGGTATTGACCGAAGTTAAAGGCTACAATTGTTTTATTATTTTACAAAACAGTAATGTAAGCACTCTCAAAAAAAAAACACAACAAAAAAGCTTCGGAAGTGGGACGGTGTACTGTTTGGAGACACGTCATAGTTCTATTTTTAGAAACACCCAGTCCTTTAACAAAAATCACGCGCTCCAAGTCAATATCGGTTTTTTATCGGTGGACACGTGATGCACTCCTGGCCAATCACTTGTCGAGAATATTTGTTTTTTAA